AGGAGGAGGAGGAAGAGGGGGAGGGAGAAGAAGAAGAAGAGGAAGAGGAAGAAGAAGGAGGAGGAGGAAGGGGAGGAGGGAGGAGGAATGGGGAGGGAGAGGAAGATGGGGAGGGGGAGAGGGATGGGAAGGGGGAGGGGAGGAGAAGGAGGAGAAGGGAAATAAGAAGGTGCTATAACTGCTCCACCAGCCAGGCTTCTTTCCTTGCCCCATCCTATAGTGGCCCTGAAACAATCTCTACAGGGCCCTAGAACTCTATGGAAAGTTACCAAAAAAGCCTGTTCTAGTCCAGGTTTCTGTTTCTCAAATGTAAACCAAGTCTTTGGAATTAAAAGTGCAAGGCCCTGCATGAATCCGACGTCTCACTGATGAGACCAGGGCACGTCTCAGGGGAGAAGCTGCTTGTACGGGTCTTACCGTCCATGTCCAAGCGCTGCATGATGATGGCCAGCTCCACCTCACTTGGCATGTACCCCAAAGAGCGCATGGCCATGCCCAGCTCCTGCTTGGAGATGAAGCCGTTCCCATCCCGGTCCAGAACCCGAAAGGCCTCTCGGATTTCTACAATGGAAAAGCAAAGAAAGTCCAGTGGTCACATGGTTGGCTTTATTGCACTGCAGTCATTGGTGATTGTCTACCGAGAACTCCTAACTGCTTTACAAACAGTGATTTGTTAAAACTCTTTAATCAGATAAAAGGGAAGACAGAAGAAGAACATAAGAAAAGAAACAAAGAAAAGAAAAAGGAAAGAGAAAAAAGGAAATGGAAGGGAGGAGAGGAGAAGAGAAAATGAGAAAGAAGACAAAGAAAAGGAAAGGGAGAAAGGGAGAGAGAAAAAGAGAAAGGTGGAAGGGAGAGTGGAAGAGAAGAATGGAGGGAGGAAAAGAGAGAAAGGAAAAGAAAGGAATGGAGGGAGGGGGAAAAAGGGAAGAAGGGAGGGAGAAAGGAAGGAAGAAAGCAAGGGAGGGAGGGAGGAAGGAGGGAAGTAAGGAGGAAGGAAGGAAGGAAAAAGGAAAGAAGAAAGAAAAAGAAAGGGAGGGAGGAAGGATGGAAGGAAGGCAGTCAGACAAAAGAAGGAAAAAAGAAAAAGAAAGGAGGAAAGGAAGAAAAGAAAGAAAAAGAAAAAGAGAAAGAAAGAAAAAGAAAGAAAGAAAGAAAAAAGAAAATGAAAAGGAAGGAAGGAAGTAGGGAAGGAAGGAGGGAGGG